TGGATGGATGGGTGAGTGGGTGGGTGGGTGGATGGATGGATGATAGATGGACAAACAGATGAATGGACCCAGGGCAGGATCACCTGCTCACATTTTGACCAGACAAAGTAGATGGCCACGGGGCTGTCGGGGAGGTGGGCAGGCCGAAGTTGTGGCCAGGGCGAGCCTCACATGGTTTGGCTCCGGCTCCACCTCTCCCAGCTGTGTGACTTAAGGTCAGTGGTGTGACCTCTCTGAGTCTTGCATGGATGGCAGGAGATAAAGCCCATGGTCACCAGCTGGGGCCACCCCTCCCAATGGAGGCAGGCCTGCTTTAGGCCTCCTCCACCAACACTAGAACCCCACCATGTTCCACCCCACCCAGCCCAAGCAAGGAGGGCGAGGCCATCCTCTAGAACAGGGGTCAGCAAACTGCGGCTCACGAGCCGCATGCGGCTCTTTGGGTATGTTTCGTCTCAAAAGTTTGCTGACCCCTGGAAGAGCCAATCCTGTCCCTCACAACAATTTAAAACTTTTTCGAGAGCCATAAAATAAATGAAACCACCATTATGTGACTAATGTCCTTTAAAATTTTTATAAATGAAACTATGATAGTTTTATTTTCATTTTCAATTTTACTTCAGAGCCACATGTACGTACCCAAAGAGCCGCATGTGGCTCACGAGCCGCAGTTTGCTGACCCTTGGCGGCTCTTCCGTCTCAAAAGTTTGCCAACCTCTGGTCTAGGGGCAGACAGACAGACATTGCACAGACAATCCTGGGCCAACACAAAGGGTTCCAGGGCTGGGGCGCTGGCCCCGCTGGGCTGAGGGCCTTTCTGGCCCAGGCACCATGGAGGAGCTTGACATATCTTAATGCACTTTTACATTTCATAGCAGGAATAACTGCAAAATATTTTTTTAAATCCAGACAGAAGAAACGCAGCCAACACAGAAGGTGAGAGCCCCACAGCCCAGGCCTGGGTTCCATCATCCAATCGGAGGCAGACGAACACGAATATTTTTTTCCCATCTGTTGGCGGTTTGCTTCTTTTCTTTATCAGTATGTCTGGGGTGCCTTGCCACGGCAGCACCTGCAGACTCACTTCCTTCTGGGCTTGTTCACAGTCCCGTGGTGTGACCATAGTGGACAGGGGGCTGAGCCAGGCTGCCCAGGTGTGGCCCTCGCCCTGCCACTTCTCTCTCACTCTGTGACCTGAGTGAGCCCCTAGCCCACCTGGGCTTCAGTATCCTTGTCTGTAAAATGGAAATCTATGACCTACCGCCAAACAGCTTTGGAAGGACTAAAGTGTCAATAGCTGGAAAGATCTTGGAGCCTTGATCTGAGCTCTAAATACGACCATTATGATTTAATTTGCTAGCAATGTACTGTGGGCTTCTTTCCAGTTTATTTCAGAAAGTGTGCCAACAAACATGCTTCGGGACTTTTGTGTTTCAGGGGGAGATTTCTGGATCAAAGATACCTGAGCTATTTTTAACTTTCTCATACTTTGCCTTTGGGCAGGGTTTGGGGGGAGCAAGAGGTGCAGGGGGGTTGCCAAGTGATGAAAATACTTAGGAGCCCAGAGTGGACACGGGGAGGCCAGGCTGGCTTCAGACATCGGCAGCCCTGGCATTTTCAGAAAATGGGGCTCCTTGGCGAGTCTGGACCAGGTCAGGAGAGCCCGGGGGCTCACCAGGCTCATTCCGTGACCCTCCGAGCCTCAGTTTCTTCATCTGTCAAGTGGGACAGGAGACAAGAGTCTGTACACTTGGGGCCTGGCCCTGCCGTGGTCTGCCTGGATCTGAACACTGCCCAGCTGTTGCTGCAGACCCCACGGCCCCAGGGAGGGCTGACACTCACCCACCTTTGGGAGGGAGGTGTCTCTGGGGAATGACTGGCTCGTGTGGTGGCATGAGCCCCTACCTCAGTCCTCCCAGACACCCTGGCCTCCCCCTGAGATCCTGAGGGGTCAGGGCCCTGGGCCTAGGGTCTTCAAACCTCCGTGGCCCCCAGAAGAGGTCTCAGGGCTGCAAAGCATGTGACAGGGCATTCCCTGCTGCCTCCCCTACCTGTATGACCGCCCTGGAAACAGCACACAGGCAGCCTGCCCCACAGTGCCAGCTCCTTCCCTTGCCCACAGAGCTCAGACCGGCATCAGACCTGGTGTGCCCACATCTGTGCTACACCCCAGTCTCAGAAGAGACACTGTCGTGTCCATGCGTGAAGGAAGCAGGAACTCATTTGCAGGCGACAGTCAGAGCACGTGCCTGTGTGGCGTCCCCAGCGTGGACAGGGCTGGCAGGGGGCGCTGGGTGAAGCCGAAAGGTGGGTCGGGACTGGGAAAACCCTGGAATGCCCAGGCTGGTGTAGGCACAGCACATCTGGGGAGGTAATGGGCCTGGAAGGGCAGTGGCAGGTGGAGGACGGGAGGCTGGCACAATACCAGGACAGAGGCCCTGTCGGAGCCAGCTGCAAAAGAAACAGAGAGGCACACATGGACAGGAAGCCCCTTGAGGGCAGGTTACAGACACCCTGCTGGCACACAGCTGCTCAAAGGAGGCTAAGAGAAGCTTGCCTGCCACCCTTCATCTGGACAGCAAGGCCCCGTGATGGGGTCACACCTTGGAGGTGAGCCTGGCCCCTGGCCATGTGGCACAGAGCTGAGGGGACTGGGGATGGGTCTGTGGTGGGCAAAGCCTGAAGCAGCTGGGCAGGTGGCAGAAAGGGGACCGTCCCTCCCTTTGCAGCTGCCCCAGGAAGACGCTGCCAGACCTGGCGCTGGCTTGTGCTTGGCAAGGTGACCGCCTCAGGCTGGGCATGCACGATGGGAGAAGCCAGGGCAGGAAAAAGGGAGAGCCAGTCAGCCAAGGTCCTTCCCACTCAGAGGTTCTGGAATCGGGGGAACTCCACTCTGGGATGCTGAGGGCCATTCCAGCCCCTTTCTCGCCTGTTTCCGGTACTCCGGATGGGCCTGCCTGCCGTGTCTGTGACAAGCCTCTGGGCTCCGTACATGTCGTTCTCTGCCCACTTCCTCCCACTCCCACCTCTCCACCGTGCCAACTCCAACTTACTGGCCAGTTCAACCAGGGCTCAGGGGAGGGCACACTGCCCTCCTGTGGCCACTGCCCCGGGTGCCTGCTCCCACTGGCTGTCGGCCTGGGAACAGCCTGCTCAGGCTGCCATCCCCCACCCATGGGACAGTGGGAGCCTCCAAAGAGGGTACAGCCGGGATGGTTCACGCCAGGCCCCAGCGCCAGCCCAGGGATGGCCCGGAGGATGATGGCTCCTCGAGGCCTGCGCACTGCAGGGACAACCGAATACGCGGCAAACATGCACTGTGTCCTCGTCCCTTGGCTAAGCTCTTCCAGCCTGGCCCCCTGTCCTAACTAGGTGACCTGACCCAAGCTGGGGACCACCCCTTTGGTCTTCTGGTCAGTCCAGGACGCCCCTAGGCAGGCCCCATCCCCCTTAGTTCTATTTTTAGATTAGAAGCCTTTACCAAGTGTCTATTTATATCTCTCTCCATCTTGGGTTTCTGGTCATCTCATCATCTGGCTGAGCAGTCCTCCCTTCAGCCTCTTGGCCCACTTCAGGCCGAGAGGGCTCAGAATGGCGCCGAGCACACAGACGGGAGGCTCACAGCACACCTGAACCGGTAGCCCTAGGGAAACTGAATGCTTCCAGCTAAACCAAGAGACAAGAAACCCACCAGCAGGTGGCAACTTTGGGGTTGACTAAATTCAACAGAGAGAAGTGAATTCCTCCAAGTCTACCCAACGGGACACCTCTGGGCACCATGGACTCAGGGGCCAACTGTCCCCCACGTGGTCCCAGGCTCTCCATCCTCTGGGGCCCAGAGCAGACTCGCTCATTGAGGAGGTCGAGCCACTCCGGGGTGGACTGGACAAGGGGCCGGAGAGACGTCCAGACAGCAAACATTTACTCACCGGGAGGGAGGAAACACACCAGGCAGAGCCGGCTCTCATCAGAGCCAGGACGCACACCAGCAGCCGCCCCCAGCCCCTCACCACAAGGCCACCACACCTGTCCACTGCAGCGTCTTCAGCCACCACTACAGTCACCATTTCGGGGCCTTTTGGGGACGGGATTTCCCTTTGCAGGTCCGGTGAAAGATGCCGTTAAGGAAGCCGTTTGGAACTCGGCTAATTAACTTTTCTTAATTGCGGTAACTTTGGTTTATAATATTATAGAAATTAACTATTATCTTCTATTTCCTGCAAATGTGTGGACAGCTGAAGGCAGAGAGCAGCCATTGCATCTTGCTCTGGAACACCAGGACCCTGCCTGCCCTGTGCACCCTTCCTGCACACACAGCCTAACTCCCCAGAAGGTCTACACAGCCGGTCCACAGCCCACACCCACCCCACTAGCCCTGTGACGCCCGAGCTCCAGACTTGCTCCTCACCCCAGGTGCAGACAGCCTCCTGCACTGAAATCAACAGATTCCAGGGTGGGGAGAACAGGCCATTTTCTTTTCCTCCTGGTGTTTCTAATTTTTCCACACTGAGCCTGTCTTGTGTAAATTATAAAGCTGTACAAAATAAAAATACCCCACACTTTTCAGTGACCTGCTTGACCCCTGCCCCTCACCCTGACCCGTTGATAGTCCCTCCCTGCTGCTGTCCTCCAACTGTTCTGGCCTTGGGCCCCTCCTCCCCTTAAAGGTGGGGTCTGAGAAAAGCCCTGCAGGGGGCCCTCCCCTGGGAGGGGGGATGTCTGGGGCCTTTGAGAACAAGAGGAGTTAGAAAAAGCACATTCTGTTCTGTAACTTTATCTTCAGGAATGAAACAGGACAGACACAGAACCCACTGCTGATGTAATAAAACCGGCTCAAAGATGTGGACATTGCGAGCTCATTGATTTGGTGATGACTGTATTTTCACTTTCTCTCCCTAACTGCCATGGGAGCTCTTGGAGGTCAGGGAGGGGTGTCTGCCTTGTCCCCATGCCTGGCACAGAGCAGCACTCAATCACTATCTGGGCACCACCTGAGTCAATGATTCTCGGACAGCGTGGACATGCAGAGCTCTCTAGAAGATCTTTTAAGAAGAAATGTGGTTCTACAGTTTAGTAACCCAACAGTGCACCCAAGTGACCCCCATCTGCTCCCACTGCCTGCCTTCACCCCTCCCTCCCTGCCCCAGAGCCCCTCTCCATTGCTCCCCACAGACTGGACCTTTGTTCCCAAACCCAAGAAGCCCCCGCCTGGGGCACAGTAGGAACCCAACAGTGAGCTTCAGGAAGCTCCTTGGAGGAGGCCCCGTTTGGGCAGCCCCTGCAGGGGTCCAGGTGAGGGATCTAGTGGAGCAGTAGTGGGAGCCTGCGGGCCAGAGAGGAGGTGTGGTGTGAGGCGGCAGCCTGTAGGGAGGGCTTAGAAGTGGGGTGGGTTTGGAGGGAGCAAAGGGTCAAAGAATGCAGTAGCACCAGGTGCCAACCCCCCTGGTGATCTTATGATGGACGATTGCTTATAATCCATACTATTATCAATTCGATATTTATTTCAATTGTTATGCCATTGGGCTGCTGCTAACACAAATATTTATGGCTACATTTTAAGGAACACAGATAAGCGTCAACTAGAAGGCTTTGATACACTTGCTAAGGACAGTGAGGTTGGTCAAAGGTCACAGCATGAAAACTTAAATCAAGGACACAGGAATGGAGTTAGTTTTGTTCACATCAACATCTATTCAAGGGCTCATGCAACCTGCCCCAAGCATGACATTAACTTTAAGTCACATGCATTGTCATCTTTATCTCCTTCTCAATCGTTCCATCATAATTTCTGACTTACTGCTTACTTGACTTCCTCTCAAACCTCCAAAAACAGGGATGGATGCTGCAGGCTAGTGTACTTTACCTCCTGAGGCCTGAGCAACCCAGGGACACCCCTTCCTAGAGGTGAGTCACCTGGATGTAGGTTGTCCTGTTTAATCACCATGGTCTCAGAGGCCTTCAGCCACCAAGTATAGTCATCACTGTCTCCTGCCCTGTTTGTTGTCCGGGCTTCTCCTGGGGGCCCACATGCTACTATTTTTCTGGCTCTTGGGTTCCTCTTCCACCCTCCACCTCCCGCCCCCCTCCCTTAAGGCATGGAACTGCATCAGAGAGGCTGGCGATATTCAAACCCAGGCCTCCAGACCCCTAGTTCAGGGCCCACTAACCATCACAAGCACTGGACTAGGAGTCAGCAGACCTGGGTTTGGGTCTCCGCTTAATGATGGCTCTATTTAGATTCTAAGAATGAAAGGGAACCACACCTGATGGTTGGCTTCCCGGAGGCCTCTGTAATCACCATGCTTCACCGCTTATATGCCTGACATATATCCCCTCGTTCCAAATATAATTAAAACCTGTCCATGAGATACATATCCATTGTAATCCCCATCCCGATTTCAGAAACTGTAAAACTAGAACAGAACTGTGTGCTCTGCAATGGAAACTCCGAAGAGTGTGGTCCTGACCTGACCTGACCTGACCGCAGGCGGGTGAAGAAGGAAGTTGGCCTGAGGGTGTTATTTGACACTCACTGTGAAAGAGAAAGCACCCAACCAAGCTCGGCCCCAACCGGACAGTCCGGACTTAATCAGGCGCTGCTGGGGAAGGACGGCAGGGAGAAGTCGCTGACCAGGACGCTCTCTAGGGGCCGAGGAGTGGTCCCAATCTCAGGGTGGGCGGGCGGCGGGGGCGGCTTCTGCTCCTACTTACCCCTCCCAACTCCCGCCGCCCAGCTCCCCGCGGCGACCGCCTCCGCCCGCCACAGCGCGTCCTGGCCATCGCGCTTGGACGCGCCGCGACCTGGCCTGCTCCGCTCCGCAGCTGTCCGCCCGGCCCAGCAACCTGCCCTGCTCCAGACTCCCGCAGCTCCCGAGGGCCTGGCCGCGCCCTTCGCCCCAGGCCCCCTTCCGTTTTCAGGTTCGCTCCCCGCCGCCCGACACACCGGAACGCTCAGACCCTGAGACCCCGCGTGTTGGGCTGAGCGAAGCCCCGGGACCACCGCTAGGTGCGCGCGCAGGCTCCCCGAGGGGGCGACTCGCCTCCCTTCGAGCATCGCAACTGATTGTGTCCGAGCCTGCGTGCCCGGAGGAGCCTGGCGCTCCACGCCTGTGATCGCGGCAGTGACCCCGTTATGCAGGCGAGGACGCTGAGTTTCCGCGGCAGAGTGGGGATCTGAACCCAGGACCCAGCTTCCTGGGCCGGGGCCGGCGCGAGCGCACCTCACGCCCCGCCCAGCCGACATGCATCGCGCACGCCAGGAGGTCCTTGGGCCGAGCAGGCCACAGTCAGGGCGTGGGCTCCCGGGCCGGGCCCCAACGGTCCTGCTCCCGCGAACACCCAATGCCTCTCCTGCCCCGAGCGGCGCGGGCGGGCTCACGAAGCACACTCTTTGTCTGCAGCGTCTCTGCGCCTCGCCCATCCACCCGCCATGTCCCCGGCGCCCCGGGCACGCTCAGCCAATGAGGAGCGGCGGCGGCGCGCAGGCCCCGGGGCGTTGTCCGCGCCTCGCCCGTTCATTGGCTGCGCTCTGCGCCCCGCCCAAGCCCTGCCGGCGGCTCGAGGGGCGGGGCCTGCGGCCCGAAGTGAGGGACCCCCGGCGCCCGGCGGACCGCAGCGAGGGCCAGTGAGCCGGCCAGCGTGGAGCGTTCGCTGGGCGAGGAGTCGCGCGCTGAGCTGCCGCCGCCCTCAGACCCCGGTCTGCCTGGGGCTCCGCGCCAGGAGGCGGCAGCCAGGCTGAGTTCCAGCCCATCAAACCGGTGGTGCCCCCGACGGCAACCAGCTCGGTAAAGGATCGGAGGAGAAGGACTTGGAAGAAGGGCGGCCTCCCTGGGAACCCGGCAATGGCGCTCGACTTCCTGGCTGGATGCGCTGGGGGTAAGGAGACGCGCGGGGGCCCCAGACGTCGGGCGCCCGCATCTCCGGGGTCGCAGCCAGGTGTCCGGGACGCGAGGCCAGCGAGGCCCAGCGGCTTGCTCTCTGGCTGGGGTTGCCTCGTCTGTGAAAAGGGGATAGCAACGCTCTGGTCTCCCAGGGCTCTTCGGGCGTGAACTGACAGGAGGCCCGAGGGCGCTTAGCGCGCTGTCTGCTGGGGCAAGTGTCTTTCAAGTCCTTCAGGGCACGTTTGGACAGCAGGTGTGGGGCCCCGGGGCAGCGCAGTGGCTGGGCGGAGGCGAGGGACTGACTGCCGGGAGGGTGCCCCGCTGCCCGCTGCTCCCTCCTCGCCCTTGGCCCGGAGCGCCTTTCCCTCACCACCTACCCACCCCCATCCCACCCGGAGCAGGGTTCGCTCCGGGGCCGAGAAGTTTTAGGTTGTCTCTACCCCTTTACCCCCGCGGCCATCTGGGCAGGGCTCGGGCCACCCGACAACCCCCTAGCAGGTTGGCCCCGGGGGCACTGAGCGGCGCTGGCTGGACCCCAGGCGCCAAGTCACGCTTTGGAACGCGGCCCGCTGCCTACGGCCGTGTAAGTGAGCTGACGGGGCGCGAGCTCCACCACCCGGGTGGCAGAGTGGGCCTGACATGCCGCTTGGGGTAGTCCTTGGGCTCAGGCGGAAGTGTCACCGGCGTGGGGCACCTTCGGCGAGGCTGGGGTCTAAGCCTGTGTCCCGGGGAGGGCCTGAGTCATTGTGCAGCCCCAGCTCTGCTCTGGCCCGACTGTGGGGTAGGGCACCGCACCTCCCTGTTTGGCTTTTAGTTTCTCTGCTTTTACTTGGAGAGTTAATTTATTCAACAGGTATTAATGGGGAGCCAGGTTCCCCTATCAGGGATTCTGGGATGAGTTGACAGAGGTGGCAGGCCCTCCCGGGCAGAGGCCCTCCCTGGCTGGGTGTTCCAAGCCTGGTGGGCACTTCTCTCCTCCAGCACCTGCCAGCGGTGGGCTCCCTGGAGGAGGAAGAGTAACTAGTAGTGACCATGAACATTTAAACCCGTGTGGCGTGAGCTTGCTGCTCTGGGCGAGAGGAGGCTGGCGGAGAAGGGAGTGTGCCAGGGAAGTGATGTGTGTGAGGGGATTTAAGAACTTCCCAGACTGCTTCCCAAAGACTGGAGCCTGAGGGAGGGGGCGAAACCCCAGAGTTTTTGACAAATCAGTGGAGAATTTCTCCCAAGCCCAAGCACCAGAAGGGGGGGGGTTCTGCTGATCCAGCTGTCAGCTCCCTCTACCCCCCCTCAGATCCCGCTCTCTGCTCTTACCAGTCCCCTCCCCTCGGTGTCTGTCACCCCTCCTGGCCCCTCTTGGGCCCAGCTCTCCTCTACTCACCCCTCTCCCCCAGAGGTGGCTTGGGAGGGTGGGGGCTGTCCCAAGGCCAGTGCCCCTTTTCAACTTCTTGGGGAGTGTGAGTTCTCTCTCCAGAGGGGCAGGATTCCTTCTGTTTTCCTGCAGGTGTCCTGGGAACTTGGGGCTTGGGGTAGGAATACTCATCCTAAGGCCAGGCCTGCTTAGAGTCCCATCCCCCCAGACACTCGTGTTCAGCGACTCTGGGCTCTTGCTCAGGCAGGGCCCCTTTCTGGAATGCCCATCTTCACCAGGCCTACCTGGAAGAGATCCTATACAGGCCCGAGGGCCCAGCGCCCTGCCAAGCTGGAGGCACTTCACCGGCCACCCACACTGTCCCACCGGGGTCCGCGTGCAAGCCTGGGTGGATGGTGCTCACCTGCTTCCTCGCTGTAGCTAGCCGAGACCTGAGCCTCCCAGGTGGATGAGAATGGAAGTGGCTGCAACAAGGGTTTTGTGTGCCTGGGAGGGGACAGATAGTGCCCTCAGTCTCCACTCCTCAGGGACCTTCTCTGGCCTTATTTGACCCAGGAGACACCTAGGCCCTGAGAAGTGGAGGCACTAGTACAAAATCATGTCGCATGCTCCTACAGAGCAGGGCAGAGGCTTCCTCTCCCCTTTAGCCCACGGGACAATGACCTGATTGTGTCCCAGGCCCGCCTTCGGGTCCCTGGCACAGCCTAGCCTGCACAGAGGGGCCATCCAGGAACCATGCTCGGGCAACTCTTTGGGGCCTGGCCCCCAGAGGCCTCAGTCTGACTCCTTCAGGTTTGGGCTCCTCAAAGCCTGGAGACTCAGGACAGATGATGGCGGTGCTTCTCCTCGGTGGCCTGGGGTCCCTCTAGATTCAGATTTCCGTGTTGGGGGAGGCTGGCACATCACCTTGATTGTCTTGAGTATGGGTCACCTGTTCAACCTTGCCCGTGGAGAGTCTGGCTGGGACGTTGATTGACAGCATCTGGAGGCTTCACTTAGTGGAAGGGTCAGAATGCCTACCTGCACTCCCCCACCAGGGGGTCAGCCCCAGGTCGTCTGCCTGCTTAGACCCTGAGCTCTGGATGGGGGTCTGCCTACTGCGGGCATGGACAGGAGGAGAAAAGCTCAGTGGTAGGCAGGGGAGGACAGGTCGGCCATCTTGGTGTCCCCTCCTACCACCTCTGCTGCCAGGTGCCTCCAGGACACCTCTCCTGCCATGGAGGGTCATGGGATGGGGGTTCCCCCTTAGAGTCAGCTTATGCGGGGCAGTGAGCACTGGCTGTGGAGCTGGGAGCCAGGATCTACTTCTGCTGCTGCAACTGTGGGCTTCAGTGTCCTCTCAGGGAGATGGCCTGGCAGGGCTCCCTGGCCCTCAGGTGACTGTGAAGTTCAAAGGATAAGGCTTTGGGGGACTGGAGGGCCTGGTGGAGGCAGGCCCTACAGTCCACTCATGTCTGTATATTCTGGGTGAGGGGGACCCAGCCTCTTGCCTGGGGGCACTGAAACCAGTCAAAGGGAGAGAGAGAGAATGAAATGTCTGCTCTTGGAGTCCTTGCCTAGGGCGCCCCCAATAGAGGCTGGTGGGTGAGGGTCTGCTCCTCCCATCCCAGAGGCTGCTGAAGGCTGTTGCTGGCACCTGGGCAAGTCTGGAGCCAGAGGCAAGACCGTCCACCCACCTCCAACGCTTCCAGCTCTTGGGGCCCCACAGTGGGGGGCTGGCTGCAAGGGGCTTGGAGGGCTGGAGAGGCCCTTGGCTGAAGCAAGAAGGAAGACCAGGCAGCACACCAGGGGCAAGTGTTAGATTTCCAAAACCCCAGGAAATCCAGTTACAGCCCAAGAAAAGAGGTTGTAGAACTAGGATTTTCTAATTGAGAAAATTAAAAACATGAAATGATTTTTTTAAAAAGGGTAGATCTCAAAGGGCAGACACAAAGTGTGTCTTGGGACCAGAAACAGAGATGTGGAAGCCTTGCAGGAAAGGGGTGTGGGGTGTCTTCTCATCCACCTGAATGTGAGGGGTTCCAGAAGGAGAAGAAGGCCTGGAGGTGATGAAGATGATGAGTAAATAAATAATAGTGGACATTTTCTCTGATCAGAGAAATGTGAGGCTATAGAATGACAGAGCTGGTGGAGTTCCAGGCAGGAATGTTTTGAAGAAAAAAGACACACCCTTGGCACCTCCGGTGACATTCCTGAAATCTACAGATAAAAATCTCTGAGGCTTCCTGTCAAAATAAATCAATTATTTACACAGGAAAGGAAGTGCTGGCAGCAGATTTCTCTGCAACACTGGAAGCCGGAGGGCTTCTGGGACACTGCCACCCTTCCCGGCCTGGGTCTGGAATCCTCATCAGGCCTTAAAGAAATAGATTTTACAGATGACCTGCCATTCAGAGGGCATTTCCTCATGTGTTACGTGTTCGAATCCACCAATTTCTAGCTGTGTGGCGTGGACATGTTACTCCTCTGGGCCTTGGTTTCCTCATCTATCAAATGGGCTAACAGGCCTTTCTTTGGAGGAATTAAAAGGGATAGGTAGTCTAGGTATAAAACTAAGAACCGTAACCACTAGGCAGAAACGTTACTGTTTGTTACTCAACACATGTTGGCTGTTTTAATTATACATAAGCACTCCTGGAAATAAAAGAACTCCAGGATGTACGCACATGAAATTCTAGGGAGGAAAGCGTGGGTGTTGGCTCCCCGGTTACTCACTGAGCCTCAGTCTCTCCTCCATGAAGTGGGGAGAAAGGCTGCCAAGCTCAAGGGATGTGGACAATACGCCCAGCATGTGGGACTCTGACCAGTGTCTGTGAGCCTTGGTCCTTTCCGGGGGGCTGGATTTTTGACAGGGCCTGGACTCATACCTAAGCAAGCATGATTGCAGTGTCCCAAGCTGCCCCCCTGGGCACCAGGCAGCTCCCACTAGGGGAAGGGAGCCGTCAGCCAGGTCCTGGGGAGTGGGGGGCTCTCCCTGGGGGCTCACCCCTGGACAGGTGAGGACATGAGGCTCAGACACTGAGTCCCTTGTGAGCTCAGCCAGTGATTAACTGACAAGAGGGAAGTTTCAATCTGGGTGGAGGGTCTGGCCCCAAGTCTAAAATTTCCGGAGCCCCCTCCCCATGCTGGAGGTGTTTGGAAAAATAGGACCATCTTAGAAATGGCATGTGCGGCCTCCAGGGGGACAACTTCTGTTGTCAACTGCAGTGAGCACCGGGGCAGAGGGAGAGACACCAGCTTTTTTTTTGTCCCCCAAAGGTTTTATTGGGGAATTGGGGGAGGGGAACAGCATTGGGGAATCGGGCAAGGGGAACAGACAAGTTGCTGTCTTTTGTTCTTCAGTCTAGTTGTGGAGGACGGAGAGACACCAACTTTGAGTTGGACAGATCTTGGCCTGACCTTGGGGATGTCACCCTCTCATTCTCTCCCCCACCTCCCCCGCAACCATGAGGATTAAGGGGCTCTCCAGAGGAGCCAGGCACACAGCAGCCCCTGTGTTGTCCTTCCCGGAACCCCACCCCACTCTACAGGTTTCTCAGGTATTTGGGTCACAAGCTCTCCTTTCTTCCTGCAGGTGTGGCAGGCGTGCTGGTGGGACACCCGTTTGACACGGTCAAGGTGAGTCTCTCGTCACAGTTTTATTCTCAGGCTCTTGTGGAGGCACAGACATTGGAGAGAGGCCTGCAGGGTCTGGGCGGCCAGAGGCCCCTTTCCAGTGACCCTCAGGAACACCTTGAAGGTCATCCCACAGGTTCTAGAATAAATAGAATCAGAGTTCTCCTTGACGCCCAGGTGGGCGGCTGCTTATCCACTGAGCCCAGTGGGCCTCTCCTGGGTCTGTCCCCACATCTCCCAGTGGGGGCTGAACTTTGAGATCCATCCTGGGGCTTGGCCAGCTGAGACCAAGGGGCCAGTTTCCCCTCGCCCAGAGCAAAACTCCACCAGACAGCTTCTTGAAAGAAAAAAAAGTTCGGAGAGAAAATACAGAAAAATCAAAACTTGTCAGTAATTCACATGACCATGATCTTCACAGAGTGGTGATCGTCACTGTCGAGAAGCTGAGTAACGGCTTCCCCAGAGCAGCTGTGCCACCGTGGGGTGTGTGTGGGGCAGGCACTCAGTTTCCTCCACAAACCCCACATGGCGTACACCATTGCATTCCAGGTTCCCCGATGCCTCAGAGGGGAAACAAGGAAACCCATGTTGTCCCGATGGCAATTCCCACCTGAGATTGTCCCTTATTGTTGTGGTTTTATGTCAGGACCCTTCCTTGCCAGCTCCACCGGGGAGCCAGGGCCACTGTGAGCAGCAGGGCGCAAGGCCAGAGCTTCTGCTGCCTTAAACGCTGACCTTGGCACCGCTTCCCACTGGGGCAAGGGCAGAGCAAGGGCAAGGCCGTCACTCGCAGCTGGATTTAAGGTGGACTTCCTGTGTCTTTTCTTGGGTGTTCCTTGGTTAAGAAAAGGACTTGTGAACTTAGGGCTGCAGTTTCCTCCAGCACAGCACTGCCGGCAAGTGTGGGGAGGCAGAGGGGCCAGGCTTTCTGGCCGTGTAGCAGCCCGAGGTCCCCACGGGCCTGCCGGAGCAGCCCAGGACAGCTTGGCAGTGTCCACATCGCGCTGTGTTTATAGCTTGTGGTCACGTGGGTAAATGCCTCTGGAAGCTGCATCCAGCCAGGAAGGGCCTCTGATGTACTTCCTCAGCCCAGCTCCGCAGAGGCCTCTCTGAACTGTGATTGGCCCAGGCCCAGCCAGGCCTTGTGCAGGCTCCCACCTAACCCCTTAGTCAGTCCCCAGCAGGCTGGGGGCGCTTTGTCCTGGTGTCCCCAGTTCCCGCTGATCTCCTGAGCCATCACAGGTACCCCCGCAGTAATCCAGGTGCAGGCACTTTGCCGCCCACTGGGCTAATGCCTCTTGGCACCCCTATTACCTGGCACTTGGAGGGATGGCATCCATTTGTGGCTGTTTTTTTGTGGGGTGTTTTTTGTTTTTGGGGGTTTTTTTGGCCACTGTGGCCCATCAGTATCACATCTGGGCAAACCTGTCTTAAAAAGCTGAGTTTTTTTTATGATGAAGGGGAGAAAAACCCACCACCAATCATCACCACTGTTACTCAATTCTTCTGAAGCCTCTTGCCCACCCAGGGGCTTACACGCTGTTTATTACATTGGGCCAAGCATGGAGCACACTCATTTGGTTTAATTTAATGTTATAATGGCATTACTTTTTTACTAGATATTTTCCATTATAAACATCAAACATTCTCATTACAAGAAAATTGGGAAATACAGAAAAGCAAATTATTTCCTTCCACTAGACAAATCAGTTTTTGCATCTTGTATGTTCAGAAACCCCTCCTCCACCGTGTCCCCCGAGGGCAGGTGATATTTTTTAAATGTGTTTTTTGTTGTTGTCGTTTTAAAGATCTAATTGGCTTTATTGACTGATTCGTGAATCAGGCAGCACCCCATCTAGTAAATAGAAAGGTATTTCCTAAATGTGTTTTAACCATCAGGTACATACACATTCTTTTTGGTTGGGTTTCTGTTACAAAAGTGATATAGATTGTAAAAAACTTTTAGCCATAATGGAGGCATATAAACTAGAAAACAAAACAGTCCTTCATGTATCCTTTTCCCTAACCCTTGTTAATGATTTCTCCTGAAAAACAGAAATGTACACATGCCCATATATGTTCTTGCTTTTGCAAAAGTGGGGTTTACTTCATAGCTCTGCGGTTGAAATTGAAATTTAGCACATGTAGAAAAGTGCACACATGCTCAGTGCACAAAGCTGTGAAGCGTGGGCAGAGCACAAGGCCCGCTTCCCTGGAGCCCTCTCCTAACAATCCTGACTCCCAGCACCGTGGTCCACCTCCCTTTTCCTGAGCCTCATGCAGTTGGACCTGAGTTCCGGAATATGTGAGGGGATACGCATGTTCCGTGTCAGTCACACTGTCTCATGGCTGGGACATTTGAAGTATATTCCTCTAGGCCTTTGGGAACAAAGTTTGGTTTCCCTCTATTGAGCCTGGAACCGCAGCCACTGTCCCCAGACACACACCTTCACACGTGTTTCTCTATGAAGGTAGCTTTCTGTCGTCCTCAGGACCTGACAGGAATCAGGAACACCAAGTCCAAGCGTCCCAAGGCAGGGGAGGGGGCAGGGAGGCTGGAGGCTCGCCTGGGGGCTCTGCTCAGATGTGATCTTGAAATTTTATGTCACTTTAACCGCCTTTACTGTCTGAGCCGGAAGCTGTCTCCATCATAGCAAAAGTGTAACTCTGTTGTTGGTGAGTGTAAGCCTCACCCCCAAGACCAGGTAAACCCCATGCTTTGCTTCTCTGGCCCCACTGAACCAGACCCTGGGCCTGAACCCCACCCTGCTCTGCCCCTCCCCTGGCTCCCAGAGTTCCCTCCAGGACTAGTAGGGGACATGGAGGGTGTGTGGTGAGCTTGGGGCCAGCACAGGTCCTGGGTTGTGGCCCTGGGAAGGGCTGGTCGAGAAAATCAGCCCCTCTGGGTCAGAGGGTCTTCATGCTGGGGTCTCCCAGCCCTGGTGGGGAAGGGGGTAGGAGACTCCTGGGTTTGTGTAAGAATGACCACTTTTCCAAGGTAGGACCATCAATCCTCAAACCAGATCCTGTCACCCCAAAATGTTAAGACTCTCAACTCTAGTTGTAAGACATGGGGCACTGGGTCACAATTTATCCCCAAACCTGCGCCCCCAGACCCAGGGGTCAGAAACAAAGGGGAGATGGGCCTCTGTGGTCTCTCATGGGACCCGAGCTGTCCTGGGTATGGACATGAAACAGTGTCCAGGGCCGGCCGAGTGGCGCGTTGGTTAAGAGCTAGCTTGGGACGCCAAAGGGCCCTGGTTCGGATCCCACATATGAGAGCCAGTGACACTGCCCTCCACAGCTAAGATGCTGAACAACAGCTCAACCTGGAGCTGGGCTGCCGTGAGTCGCCAGCGGTGGCGTAGGCTGCAGCCCCTGCTGCAGTGGGTTGCCATGGGCTACCGTGTGTAGCCAGCAGCCGCAGTGAGCAGCCGTCCAGAAGCCGGCGACTGATCTGCCTCACCCAGGAAGAGCGCAATGATGGTGCCAACTTGGGCCAGTGAAACAACGTCCTCCACAACTAAACTGAAGAACCAAAAGGACAGCAACTTGTCTGTTCCCCTTCCCCCAATTCCCCAGCATTGTTCCCATCCTCCAATTCCCCAATAAAAATCTTAAAAAAAAACCTTTATAAAAGAAACAGTGTCCAACCTGCAAAGAATTAAGGACACTGCCAAAGTGGCTGAAAACGCAGCCCAAGGAGGGAACAGCCCCGCTCCACGTCGTCTCTGCTTGCACAGCCCTCTTAGTGCCAGGGTCCACAAGGGGAAGAGAGACGTCCTGCCAGAAACCCCGGAACATTGAAGGGAAAATGAAAACCACCTGAGCCATACGGAGCTCATGGTGCTCATACATCGTTAAAGTTCAACAAGTGGTTTTGCTTTTCTCTGAAAACTCAGCCCGCCCCTGCCAAATCCTGGCAGAGCCGACAGCCTGGGTGGGAATGGTGCTGCGGTGACAGCTGCTGTGGCTGCCAGCTGTAGACAGCCTTGTAAGATCCACCTGTTCTCACCAGCTGGCACCCCCACCCCACCCGGCCCCTTGGCCAAGTTGCTTGAGCCTCCGTCTCCCATCTCTAAAATGGGAGCAACAAACCCACCTGGGCTGGTGATGACTACACCCAAGGCCCCTCTCCCACTTCCCAGCAGTGATGGGCGCTCATGCCGAGGCCCTGGCCATAATGACCATTTCTGAGTCAGAGCAGGGGACCGGCTCCTGAGAATGTGACTTCATCTAGCCCCCACCCCACCCCCGTGACAGACTCAAGTTCAGCAAAGTTTCCTTGCACTCTGCACTGTGGTGCCCGTATATCAAGCGCAGAGATAAGCTCTCAGTTAACAAAGAAAGCTTTCACAGTGAGAACTGGCCCGCTGCACCTGATCCCCGGGCCTCAGAGCTGCTGACGTGGTCCCCAAGGAGGCTGTCAGCTGCTCTCCTCTCACGGCTTTATTGTAACTTATGACCACTGTCCTTAAAGGGGCTCTTGACAGAACCTGAGCAGGACCCCGAGGCCAGGGCTCTGACTCCCATTTGCCATGTGCCAGCCCCCGATGTTGAGTGCCTGGACTTGGGCGGCAGCCCTGGTGTGCCCCTGGGACAGTGGGGAGTCCCAGGAGGTGCTTGTGCCCCGCTGTCGGAACATTGCAGAGACAGTGAAAAAGGAGGCTTGGCGTCCCACGGTGGGGCAGAGGTGTCATGGCCACAGTACCAAGAAGGTGTCTTCAGGCCGAAAGACAAAGCCGACAACTCCATGGAACATGACAGAATTTATTGTAGGGTGATTTACTTACGGGAAGATTGGGTCGGAGCGGAACAGACAACCAGCAGTCCTGTGCAGATCATTCTCCGCTACCAGACCCATTAATATACTTTTTCTATAGTATAACCCGGCTACCAATGACTGACAGGACAAAGGGACAAAGCATGCAGTAGCGCTGCCCGGGGGAGGGGGGAACCCTCCTGGTGGTCTTGTGATGGATGGTTGCTTATAATCGATACTATTATCAATTTGATATTTATCTCCATTGTCATGACATCTCTGCTGCTGCTAACAAAAGCATTCCTGGTTACCTTTTTTTTAAGATTTTTATTGGGGAACTGGGGGATGGGAACAGTGCTGGGGAATTGGGGGAAGGGGAACAGACAAGTTGCTTTTTGTTTTGTTCTTCAGTGTAGTTGTGGAGGATGTTGCTTCACTGGCCCAAGTTGGCACCATCATCGCGCTCTTCCTGGGCGAGGCAGATCAGTCGCCGGCTTCCGGATGGCCGCGGCTGCTGGCCGCTCATGCTGGCTGCTGGCTACATATGGTAGCCCATGGCAACCCACTGCAGCAGGGACTGCAGCCTATGCTGTCACTGGCAACCCATGGCAGTCCAGCCTCTGGTTACCTTTTAAGGAACACAGATAGTCATCAACGAGAAGGCTTTCATATGCTTGCTAAGGACAGTGAGGTTGGTCAGAGATCACAGTGTGAAACTTAAAAATGAAACGAGGGGCCAGCCGAGTGGCTCTGTTGGTTAAGAGCTCGCTCAAGAGTTTGAGCTCTGAGCAACAGTGGTTCGATGCCCGGCCCGAGCTGAGCAGCCGCTGAGCTGCCAACAGGTAGCAGGATGGCTCAGCTAAAAAAAAAAAAAAAAAAGAAGTGAGACCCAGGACACAGCTGGAGTTGGTTTTGTTCACATCTACATCTATATACTTAACCTGTACTTATTGAGGTCTTGGGGATCCCCTGTCCCCTTGGGGTGTCATCCAGTGCAGCTGGCTGTCTCTGTGGCTATTTGTTCACTGATACCCCTGAAGAGGCATGGACCCTGGCCTCACCCCACCCTGGAATTCCAAAAGTCACCGAAACCTAAGCTGCTTGGCTCCATGCCTTGTGGGTCTGGCATCGGGCCTCCTGGACAGAGCCTCTGCAGCGGCCCTAAGTGCCAGGCCATGGGAGCTGGGTGCTGTGGCCCCGACTTGCCCACCTTTCACTGGGCCCTCTCCTTCCAGGTGCGGCTTCAGGTCCAGAGCATGGAAAAGCCGCAGTACCGAGGGACCTGGCACTGCTTCCAGTCTATCATCAAGCAGGAGAGTGTAAGTGACCTGGGCCTGGGCAGGTGGAGTGGGGGCAGGAAACCAGCCTCTAGGACTGTGGGAGGCCCCATAAAAGGCATCAGGGGGACTATCGAGCAAATCAGAACCTGGGAAATGGGGAGGGGTGAATGCCCAGCCCTCTCAGATCGATGGCTCTGGTTCTCATAAGATTCTGCTGGATCCTCATGAACACCTGGGATGGGCAGGGGCTGCCGCCATCCCCGTGGAGGTTCCCTGAGGAGGTGGGCCAGCAGCCCCAGCCCCCAAGCAGGAGCGGGCCTGACCCTCTGTGCACCCCGCAGGTGCTGGGCCTGTACAAGGGCCTGGGCTCCCCGCTCATGGGTCTCACTTTCATCAACGCGCTGGTGTTTGGCGTGCAAGGCAACACCCTGAGGGCTCTGGGCCGCGACTCGCCGCTGAACCAGTTCCTGGCGGGCTCGGCGGCAGGCGCCATCCAGTGCGTCATCTGCTGCCCCATGGAGCTGGCCAAGACACGGCTGCAGCTGCAGGACGCGGGCCCAGCCCGCACTTACCGGGGCTCCCTGGACTGCCTGGTGCAGATCTACCGGTGCGAAGGCCTGCGTGGCGTCAACCGGGGCATGGTGTCCACGCTGCTGCGTGAGACGCCCAGCTTCGGCGTCTACTTCCTCACCTATGACGTGCTGACGCGCGCGCTGGGCTGCGAGCCGGGCGACCGGCTGCTGGTGCCCAAGCTGCTGCTGGCAGGCGGCACGTCGGGCATCATGTCCTGGCTCTCCACCTACCCCATGGATGTGGTCAAGTCGCGGCTGCAGGCCGACGGGCTGCGGGGCGCCCCGCGCTACGGGGGCATCCTCGACTGCATGCGCCAGAGCTACCAGGCCGAAGGCTGGCGCGTCTTCACGCGCGGGCTGGCCTCCACGCTGCTGCGCGCCTTCCCGGTCAACGCCGCCACCTTCGCCACCGTCACCGTCGTGCTCACCTATGCCCGTGGCGAGGAGGACCTGCCGGAGGATGAGACCGTGCCTGCCACCTCGTCTGCCCCCGCGGGGCCCGCGTTGACTCAGCCCTCCAGCCTGTGACGCCAGGCCCCCAGCGAATAAGGCGCGACCTCCCCAGGGCCGCTTTTCAAAAACCCAGCATAGATATAGGTTGGCTCCCCAGCCGATCAGCCTGCCCAGACGCCCAGAAACTGGGCTGGGGACTCCATCAGAACTGGGTGGAATTCCACTATCAGTTGGGTGACCTGGACCACGAACTTCACTTCCTCAGTTTTCTCAGCTGTTACATGGGGACCTTCATACCCACATTGCTCAGTCAGGAAGGTCAGGTAATGCCTGTGCAGCACCTGGCTCTGTTACGTGGAGGCTTCCAGAAACCCAGCCGACACTCCATCCCTTCCTGGGATCCTGCCCACCATCACCATGGGGCCTCTGATGACCCACTGATGGGCTGTTGCCCAGTGCCTCGCTGCACATCCTCTGCCTGGCAGAGCTCCAGGGACACTCCTTGGCCACCTGTCCAGTCTCTGTGTTGGGGACAGAGAGGCAGCTCCAGATACCTCCTGGTGTCATAGAACGGACTCCTCTGCCGATGCACCGTAGCTTCTCCATAATGCACTGCTGGGAATACCCCTACCACTGCCACTCCCGCTGGAGGATGACCTGGGGGCCCACCAAGAGCATGGGGCTGGCGGAGGTTCCATATCCTCCTGGAGACGGGTCGGGGAGCAGGACCGGCCGGTGGGAGGAGGTCTCAACAGTTACATAGGGAACAGTCTTGTACCCTCTGGTCCTCAGGCTGTCCGTCTGTAAAATGGGGACATGGGTCAGCTGATATCCCAGTCAGGGTTCCCCAAAGTGTGCAGAAGGGTCAGCAGATAGTATGGAGTCCCAGTCCCCAGCAAATGGTGTCTTCCTGGGGCAATTGCAGTGCCTGGTTTCCTGTGAGGCCGTGAAGGGGCTTGTTAGTGGGCACAAGTGCGGCCACTTGGGGCCCCTCCAGGCTGAGGGGGATCTGAGCCCATGCTCTGGAGCTGTCACTAGAAGCCGGGGCTGTGGTGCGAGCTTGGGGTAGCCGGGGCACATCCCATACAGTGTGGTCATGTGATTGGATGGGGAGGTGGATGGTTCTGCACGGGATGGAGGTGGCTGTGGCCTCCTTTACCCTGAACGGGGGAGCTCAGCCTCTTGGGCAATGTGACAGGCTCTCCTAGGAGGCAGCCTGTGGTCAAGGAAGGCAAGACCCCAACCCTGTACACGCGGTGTCGTTGTACAGAAACACCAAGGGAATAAAAGATTCTTTTTTAAATATATTTTTAAGAGGGTTGGGCTTTATTTTGTATGTCACAGAGGAAGGGGCTCCGTTCCGCACCCCTCCCTGGAGTCAGAGGGGCCGGCTTGGTGGTCCGTGTGCTCTTGGCCCTGATGGCAGCCCGAGCTGTGTGACCTGGGGCAAGCTCTGGGACACATCTAGCCCGTTTCCTCATCTGCAAAATGGGGCTAATGGATACATGAGGATTAAGTGAGCGAAGCTCACACATGCTGGGTGAGTTCTCAGTGTTCAGCAGGTTCGCCTCAGATGTCTGGTTATCCTGGTGAGGGGCGGCCTGGTCCCTGCTTGTCCTCCAGCTGGGCAGGGCAGGCAACGTGTGTTGTGAGCTCTGGGAGTGCCACGCTGTGGTGAGGGCACAGAGGACATTAGCCGAAGTCAGAAATGGCCTCCCGAAGGAGGGAAAGGCTACGTGGAGCTGTGAAGGGTGAATGGATCTGTCCATCAGAGGTTAGACCTAACCCAACCTGAGAGGTCCCGGAGGGCTTCCTGGAGGAGGCCTTGTCTGCCCACCCCCACTTCTGCTCAGCCTCCTGGAGTCAGTTCCGAGCACCCTGCATCTACCTCATCTCTGCAGCTATCCACCTGCAGGCTCTTTCCTTCCCAAGTGCTGAGCCAAAAAGCTCCACCCACCTAGAGGGAGGGCAGGATTGAGGGCCCCCAGGTTTCTCTCCAGGGGAGCACTAGCTCTCCTGGGCCTTTACACCCCATTTAATCCCCAGCACTAGCCTGTGACATTGGGTTTGTCTTCAGTTTCCAGGCACAGGAGGCCAGGAAGGGGCTGGCTGGTGACCCCAGGGAGAAGTGTCTTCAGGCACATCACAGACCCCCTCACAGGGCCCATTAGCCCAGTGGTCCCCTTCCTGAAGTCCCAGGCAGCGGCTCCTTCCCCCATGAGGTCCCCTGGACTCGCACTTTCTTCTGGAAACCCAGGCAAATGCTAAAAACCAGGGTCCCCCACTCCCATCCTGAGTGCTGATGGTTAAACATTACCAACAAGTTGGATGGGAGAAGGGGTTGGGAGGGGGGGGTTATGAACTTATTAGACAATTTATTTTCTCCCTGATTTGAATTTATATTTATTCTGTTTGGAGTTAGTAATATATTAACGTGGGGGGAAAAAATGCAAACGGAACCCAGCCTGTGCATTGAAGGGGAAAACCTGGTCCCCACCTCCTCCCAGGCCAGAATGCCCCGTCCCGCCCCCACCCCTCCCCGAACAAGGACTTCCCGTCCTGGGCAAGTCCCAGCACATGGGAACATCCCCACTCCCCACAGAGTGTGGCCTAGGTACTGACTGTTCTGTTCTTTGCTTTTTTGACTTGACAGTTATCTTGGAGGTGTAGGCTAAGACAATAGCCATTTCTTCTCTTGAGGGTCTGGAGGCCAGAAGTCTGAAATTCAGCATCAGCAGTGTTGGCTCCTGGAGGTTCTGAGGGCGGATTCTTCCTTGCCTCTTGCAGCGCCTGCTGGTGGACGGCCATCCTTGTCTTGTACGACTATCGTTCCAACACTGCCTCCATCCTCACATGGCCTTCTTTCCTGTTGTTTGTCTCCTCTTCTTATAAGGACCCCAGTCATTAGCTTAAGGGTCCTATTCCAGTATGACCTCATTTAACTAATTACATCTGCAAAGACCTGTTCCAAATAAGGGTACAGTCACAGGTACCTGGGGGACATTGGCAGACCTTCCTAGGTGCCTACCTAGAAGCTATCCTGCCTTTCTAATAGAACCCCAATTTGTTGTAGGCTTTGGTGTGTCCAGAATTTTAAAAAATATACCTTTGGGCTGGGCTGAGTGGCTCAGTTGGTTAAGAGTTGGCTTAAGAGCGCGAGCTCTGAGCAACAGGGCCGCTGGTTCGATTCCCACAAGGGCCAGTGACGTTGCGCCTGAGCTGAGCTGTTGCTGAGCTGCCAACAGGTGGCAGGATGGCTCAGCTGGTGTAACAACAAGGTTGCCTGTTCGATGGTGGGCTATGCCCACCTGCAACTAAGACTGAACTCTGACACCTTGAGCTGAGCTGCCACCCGGATGGCTCAGTGGGTAGAGAGTGCGCTCTTAACAAGGCTGCTGGTTCGACTCCCGCATGGGATGGTGGCTACGCCCACCCGCAACTAAGATTGAACACAGCAACTTGAGCTCAGAGGCCACGAGCTGCCGACAGGAAGCCAGATGGCGACTGGCACCCTCCACAACAAAGATTGAATAACAACTTGGCTGGTCCCCTTCCCCAATTCCCCAACACTGTTCCCCTCCCAATTCCCCAATAAAATCTTTATTTATATATATAGATATCTCTATATATCTATATAGAGATATCTATATGTCTATATATATCTATATCTATCATCTATCTATCTATATACATATATATATCTTTACTGACTCCCTTGCAGCTAGAGGTGGCCTCAGGTCCCAGGTCTGGCTAGGGAGATGAGAGCAGAAGCCAGTGGCTGGGGCTTCTGAAAAAGCTTTGTAAGAGGGACAAAGGCACCTTTTCCTGTTGAAATGGGGACAAGATGCCTGCAGGAGCAGTGGAGAGAGAGCCAGCCCTGTGGCCTTGGGGGGCACTGCGCCAGTCCGGTCTGTGAAAGGCTGGTCACTTGCCCCACGTTCCATGCACTGTTCCTTTGTTTCTGTGTCACGTGCAGCCAATTGCATCATGGCCAAAGTGAGGAGTTGCCAGGTTTAACCCAGGGGAGGGACAGGATCTGTTTCACGCCCTAAAGACCCCACAGGAGGAGGTGAGGTGACAGGGCTACAAGGAGCAGGAGGAGGCAGGCCCGGTAGAGGGTTCTAAACACAAGGGCATCTCAAGGCCCGGAAGGGAGGGCTCCAACAGCAGGTGGGCAGGACCACCCTGGGGGATGAATGGTGACAGATGGAGGGAAACTGAGTCAACTTTTCCTGGTTTCTCCAGCGCAGGACACAGGCGTGCCGAGGAAGCCCCTGCAGGCAGCCCAGCCCACCTCTTCCCGCACCGGCGCTGGGCTGACACACACTGACTTTTCTTTCCCGTATCTGTTTATCCCCGTGGACCTCAGGCACACAGAATGAGTGAAGCGTAATTCTCCTCGTGACACGCCTCACTGGCCCCGGCCTGGCCCGCTGTCATTCAGTTGTTTCTCATAAACCAAAAGTCCCTTGTCCGACACAGAGTCGGGCCTCCACACCCTCCCGTGGATGGCAGGTTCTTGGAATGCGGGGGGCAGCGTCTCAGCCCTATCAGCCCCTCCAGTCCTCTTACCAGCCTCCATTTTGCAGTGGAGGATGCCAGTGAGGAGGGCCCAGTCCAGGGTCACGCGGCCAGTTGGTGCTGAGGCCAGGCATCCACCCTGCCGCAGGAGTGCCACACCAGCAGGGTCAGCCTGGGCCGGCCACCCAGACTCCTGGTGGCCAAATCACCAAGTTCCCGTGGCTGCAGTGACAGACACCCTGGAGTGTCAGTTCAGAGGGACCCACCCTGTATGCTCCTTGGTCTCGGCTCCCTGGCTGCTGGGACCCCATCCCCACGCTGGCATGGCACCCACCCGCTCTCCCAGGAGGAGGCAGTGTCCATTGTGACAGGACACACCAGAGAAGGGGCAGTGCTGCTGGGAGCGGGGCCTATGCAGCCTCTTGCTCGCCTCTCCACACAGGGAGGCCTCCCTGGGGGCCCCCACCCCATCCCGCCCCGCCATGCTCTCCCAGGCCTGCTGACAGCCGTCACCTGGGCTGGAATAGTTTGTGTACACCACCCCACCCCAACTCCCCACCCCCGCCGGCCGGGCAGTGCTACTCTATTATACAGTTTGGTGCTGCCAGGTGAGAAGCCCTGCCCCGGAAGGCTGGGGGTGCGTAGGCTAGGAGAGGCCGGGGTGCGAGAGCAGGACCCCAGGACAGACTAAAGGGGGCAGGTGTAGGGGAGGACAAGGCAGCTGGCAGGCTGGGGCGGGCTCATGAGGAGGATGAGGCCAAGGGACAGGCCTGGCGGAGGACCAAGACGGGTGGGGAGCGACTGACCCAGCATTAGAATGAACGGGGTGACTGGGGGTGACTGCAGCAGAGCGGGTTGGGAGGGGGGTGGGAAGATTTGGGAGTGGACATGGGAGGAGGACGGGGAGCCCCACCCACCGCCGCCTGTGGCATGAGGGTGACAGAAACAGCAGCCCGGCTTGGAGGGCTTCTGGCCCCTTCCTTTCAACCGCCACCAGGTCCTGACCTCATCCAGGGCATAAGCGATGGGGTCACCCCTCTCCCTGGTCTGGGGTTGAACCACGAGCCCTCTCAACACCAGGCCTTTTGCTCAGGTAGCCCCTCCTGTTATGTCTCCCCTCTCAGCTCCAAATGGCCCTACAAAGGCCCCACAAATGCCTCCCCTACCTCCTACCTGACTCTGATGCTGGCCCCCAGCGACCCTTCCCCGCTCCTCCCATCTTCTGCTGAGGAAAATGAAGCTCTCCACTGCCCCAAGGTCATCTGTCCTTCTATCCCGCTGAATCCCAAGGCCTTTCCAACGTGGCTGGTGTGCCCTCAGCATGCCCAGGGCTTAGCAGCAGGCGGCCCCCAAGTACTAAAGGACAAATGAATGGACCCCCCCTCCTTGTGGGTGCCCCACGCTGGGCTGAGGTTGTCCTCGGAGGGCTGTGGGCGCCAAGCTGTAACCTCTAAGCTTCTCCACCCGACTGGGCGCAGGAAGCCTCCCTACACCCTCAGAGGGGCCGCCCCACGCCGCGCGCACGCACCCCCGCCCCCCACCCCACCCTCGGCGTGGCGCGCGAGTGGCCACCGCACAGTCCCCTCCAGGGGCGAAAGCGGGAGGCACACCTGCGGGTGCAGGCCCAGTCGGGGACCTAAGGCTGGAGCGGAAGAACTAAATAACCCTCTGGCCTGGGGAAGAGGCCCGAGAGGCCATGGCGGCTGGGAGGGGAGACAGCTCAGGCCAGGGAGCAGGGGGAGGACGGGCGGGTCGTCCCGCAAAGGAGAGGAGCTCGGGCCACCAG